ACCTTGCTGCAGGTGCCGCACTGGTACACCCGCCGGTGCTCCCCCAGCTGCCGGACCAGCTTCCGCCGGATGCCGTGCCGGGTGGAGAGAATCAGACTCCTCTTGAGGGTGATGCTGCCGCTCTGATGATGCGGGAACCTGCCAGGTGGACAGGGAACGGGAAGACAGGTGGGAGGCTGAGTTCAAGGTTACAGTCATCTTGGAAAGGGTCTTCCCAAATCGTCCCTGCTCGATGGGAGAAAGGGGCCAAGCTCGGCACCACCCAGGGCCGGGGCAGCCAGAGGAGAGGCACCGTGAGTGGACTAGCCACACGTCGCACTGCGTTGACCTCTGGCCGCCGGGAAGCGTCACACTCAATGTGTGCTTCACCTAGAGCAGCCGGGGCCCTGAACTCTCCTCACAGATACGGCCTCTCGGCTTTATATTCTCCCTGAACCGGATTTTAAAAATCTCATCTGCTTGTGTGTTTCTGACTGTTTCCATGGAAACTCTCGGGGCACTCAGATAGACTGTAAATAAACAAACAGGTAACAGCATTTCTGACATGCCTTTGGTTTCAGTGTTTCCACAGGTTCCCAGCCTACGAAGGAACCAGGTGCACTTTGACAACAGAAAGGGGAACCCCGAAAAGAGCCAGTGGAGAAAAAATTGCCACCAGCTTATTCAGCTTCAGGACAATAATTTCTCAAGAATGACAACAAAATGCAAACATTTTCCTTGTTCACTGAAAGAAAAAGGAAAACACAAAGTAAGGAAAGCAATTTATAGAAATTCCAATACAAAACTGCTTTATCACAGCAGCAATATTCATAACAGTCAGGAGGGGGCAGCCCAAGTGCCACGGAAGCAGGAAGGGACAAGCCAGTGTGGCCCACACACAGCGACCGTCACTTAGCCTGAGAGGGAGGACGTTCTGACCCAGGCTGCACTTGGATGGGCCTGGAGAGCATCGTGCCGAGAGGAGGAAGCCCGTCACAGAAGGACCAATCCTGTGTGATCCCCCTTACATGGGCACCTAGGCTGCTCAGATTCACAGACGGGGCAGGGGCTGGGGTAAGGAATAATTATTAAATAATATGGAGCCCTGACCGGTTTAGCTCAGTGGATAGAGCGTCGGCCTGCCGACTCAGGGGTCCCGGGTTCGATTCCGGTCAAGGGCATGTACCTTGGTTGCGGGCACATCCCCGGTGGGGGGGTGTGCAGGAGGCAGCTGATCAATGTTTCTAACTCTCTACCCCTCTCCCTTCCTCTCTGGAAAAAATCAATAAGGCACTGAAGGGGCCTCGCTGGTGGTGGTGGTGGCGGCCAGCTTCCCCAAGACCAGCTCCATGATGTGCTCGTCCGGCGCCGCAGGCATGGGCTCGTCCGGTGGCACCTCGGTGATGATCTCGGCCACTTGCTCTGTGCAGAAAGAACGGGACAGCCACGTCACAGCTGGGCAGGGGCAGAACACAGCCGGCCAAGACAGCACGCCCAGGGGACACAGCCGGGACAGGTTTACACGGTTAGCAAGGAAAGAAAGGAAAACTAGCAATATTTTAGAACCTACATATTTATCTGTATATATAGAAAATCAAAATGATATTCATAACTCAAAACTAAGTTATAAATTGTGACGCTTTTTTAAAACCACGGCAGTCCTAGCACTATTTCAATCCCTCAGCATACCAACCCAAACCACATTTTCATATATATGTTTGGCTCAGTGGATAGAGCATCGGCCTGCCGACTCAGGGGTCCCGGGTTCGATTCCGGTCAAGGGCATGTACCTTGGTTGCGGGCACATACCCGGTGGGGGGGTGTGCAGGAGGCAGCTGATCGATGTTTCTAACTCTCTACCCCTCTCCCTTCCTCTCTGTAAAAAATCAATAAAATATATTTTAAAAAATAATATGGAGTTTCAGTTCAAGGAAGATAAAGAAGTTATGGAGATGAATGATGGTGAATGTATGTGAATGTATTTAAAACCACTGACCTGTACTCTTAAAAATTATGATATTTTTCAAACTGTTTTCACAGTGGACACCCCATTAAGCTCCTGGGTCCAGAGTGTTCCTGCTGGTTGTTCAGAAACACACTCATCCGCTTCCACCATGAGAAGCAAACCCCCACTCGTCAGCCCCCCCCCGCCCCCCACG